AACTTTGGGGGTGGATAGACCCTTTAACTCTAATAATTTCAACTAAATAATTTCACTCACATGTTGATTGGAGGCCAAAAAAAAGAAAAAAAACCGTGCTTAACAGGGTTTAGCTTGAGCCTAAGCCAATTTTTGAAAGGCTTATAAGAGTTCGACTTAAAAGCATTTGGATGTAATAATCTTTTTCATTCCAAGCTTGGGCTTCATAAAACACAATGTCTAAATTGGTAGCCTGCATGGCCAACCTTTATTAATGGCTCTAGTTTTTACCATTAACAAAAATTAACTTTAAAAACTAGTTAATAAAAAATTATAGAAAAAAGATCTCAATTACCCAAAAATACCTAGAAATGACAAATTAATATCATATTGAAAATTAATTCTAATTAAGTTCTCTAAATTACAAATAAATATCAAAAGAAAGTATTATTTAATATATCAAAATTAAATTAAACCTTTAAAATTTGGGTAATTTGTTTGATGTTTATAATTCAAATACAAATTTAAAATTAATCAAATATTATTGAAAATGATCAAATTTTGATCATGCATAATATATGGTTAAATTAAAAAATGTGAGCATGCTTTTTTAAATAAAACTTCACAAAGAGATGCCCAAAATGTGCATGAAGTAGAAGAGAAAAATAATTAATTGATTTGAATAATAGAATAACAACAGCATATATATATATATATATATTCCTCTTTAACCAAATTTGATATACATGCCAAATTATAAAATAATTAACAGAAAATTATATGATACATTGTAAATAAATATTCTAAAAACTATCAAATCCTTTGAAACCATGCCTCCGTGAAAATAAAGCATCATAATATTGCCATGAATGTTAAGTCAGGATCCATGTATTGAGATGGACAAGGAAGTTGGAAAGGGTGAGGGTAGATGCGAGGCTATGCTGTTAGGACTAACAATGAATCTACATGTAAGCACCCATATTTCCCACTTGAATTTACATTGAATTTTTTAAAAATTTTCTTTATTAAAATTACTAAAATGGATTCTAGTCCCCTCTGTTTTATGGTTATTTGAAATTTCTCCCACGCATGCCACACTGGATCTATCTGCAAGGTCGCCTTTATTAATTTGCAATTAATTTCAAAACTCAGCTAATCATGAACTAACCTAAATGGATTATCAAATTTGTTAAATTTTCATAAATGGGATCCTAAGTTTTAAAAACTTAATGCTTTGATATCATTTCACAAACTTAAATTAGAGTAAAATATGTTTTTGATTTTAGAAGCATGGGATATTAATTTATATCAAAGCATTTGTAAAAAGGTTGGAATATCATTTTCCAAAACAGTGAGGTGCACCATGGCTTACCTTTATTGTGCCATGTATTGTGGCACATTGTACAATTTTGACAGCATTAGAATTGTCAAATGACAGCTCCCAAGGTGGATTTCTAACGTGCCATGTTTCTCTATCTGACGTCCAATTGATATGATCTAGCAGGCTACAGGAAACTCTCTCAGAATTAACTAATGGCACTTGTTTCACATGCATATCATTTCTTGTTAAAAAGTTGAACACTTATTTGCAAACTTACCCCTTTAAAACTCATAAACAAATTTAAGGTGTCCAATTTTATTTCCCAGTGCCAAAAGCTCACACAACCCCTAGATCACACTAAATGAACCAAAAAGGACCCATGTAATATACTATAACAATACAACAATTTACAAATAACAATTTCAATACTCAACCTCTTAATCACAAAAATAGAAGGAGGAGCTAATTTACTATGAAATATCACAATACTCCTTCACAATTATCCTCATCATAAATTTCATATTTGCACTAATATTTTGATCTTATTTAGGCATCAATATTTAACATATAAGCCACCTATGATCTAAAATACACAATTCAATTGAAATCATCATATAGTGTAAGTAATCAAAATAATACAACCCCTAGTTGGAAATTTCAATAAAATCATACACATAAATCTCAAAATAATTAAGGCCTACAAGCTAGAATAATAGAATCCTATGCCCCAGGATATTTCTCTTGTCCTGATTCGATGTACTAGCACTTATAATGTTAAAGAGAGAGGAGTGAATATAACCATTCAATAACTAAGGTTAATCCAGCATATACAAATGCATGTCAATCAATTATAAGGATGGAAGTGGCATTGACTGATTATCACATTATCACATATTTATCTCAATCATAATCATCACATCAATTATAGTCACAACACATAACCATGTGAATCAATAACCATAATATGAAATGATTATAACACTAATAACCATGTGCTCTCAGTATAAAATGCAAGATCATAATAATATCAAGCATGCGACCAAAATATGATATGCATGATCAATACTATCTTTATACCCTTTTGATACCTCTTACATGAAACTAATGCTTATTAGTGTATTTTGTCCTTAGAATCGAATTATCTAAGTCTTCCACTTGTGAGAACTTACTTGACCAAGGCTACTACACTCACTTGTGAGTCATAGTTTACCCAATACTAATAACCATTGGGTGTTATGCCTTTAAGCTGGCTTCCTCATGAATCGATAAAGACTAATTAGATTTGAGTTTCTCAATGAACAAGTGGAACAAACCCTCGAAGAATAAGGGGGACAAATAAATAAAGAGTCAAGCCATTAAACTCCAAATAACAACCTTACCACATGAATTTAGAAATCTCTACTCTTCTCCCTATGGGCGAACTCTAAATTTAAATGATCATGTAATGCAATTCATACTTTTCCTAGCACATACATTTACTCAATAATTAATTGCATTTTATTTCATCAAATATTACATTCATAGTATGCCTAATAGCACTCATCAAGTCCAATCAATACTTACACATATCATACTCTCCTTTAAACTCCTAATACAACTATTCATTTCATAAACTTATATTCTCTTCCATCATGCTCTAACAAAGCATAAAAACATATTTTCACACAATTCAAGTTCATTTTCAAAATAAGACTTCGAAAATTCATTTTATGCCACATTTGTGTCCTTTTATTTATTTATTTCAAAGACATACTCGCATTCTCAAATCAAATCATACATTTCTATAACCAATTAACAAACAATGGCATAGACCAAATTTCCTCCGGTTATCTCAAATCTTTGAAAGGTTAAATGTTTAACCCTCAATAACTAACACTTTCGATAGCTCAATTGGTGTCAAGAAATGATTAATCCACAATTAATCATACCAATTGTCATTAATATTGCTATTAGGATATTTTTTCACTATTTACTCAATACTTCTACAGCTACCAAAATTTTAATTCTTCCTATTCAAACTTACCCATAGAGTCTATCAACTTCCTTTGGCTCGCATTAGTCCCAATAAACTATTAACCATCATTAATGGCTATCTAACACCTCCAACAACCTCATTAATGCATATTTTTGGGTATTCATTTCCCTACAACCACCAAAAATCATATAGTCATTAATACTAAGTTTAAATAATTTAAACAACTCCCATTAACTTCATTTAGGTCAATGGGTTCAGACCCAATGCCCTATATGTTCGAAAATTCACTCCCAACTACAAAACCTAACACAAAAATGAGCTAAAGAGGAAGGGGAAGGAAGGTTAGAGCTAAGGGAACTTACTGGAAGAGGTTAAATGCTCCAAATCACTCTCAAGTGGTTGCAAGATCATGCCTTGATAGAGCAAGTGACATTTTTATCATTTTCTCCTTCTAATGCTCAAATGTTGCAAGTTCTAATTTAATCAAAATTTTGATCATGCGTCACGATGCACACAGCATACACCATGGTGTATGGCATAGAGCAACCCATCCTTTGCTAGCTACCACACATGCGCCTTTATCCATGTGATTTTGACAGTTGATCATATGTGTTGCACAACAGAAAAAAATTTACAACAAAAAGTTTGTAAATAACAACTTGCTTTCATTGAATTAACATAAAGATGTACATCAATTTGGATAATTTCATGCTAATACTAACCCTTCTAGTGAAACAAGTACCACCATGAAATTTTATATCAAATTCCATGTTTGATATATACAAAAAATTAGTAAATACATTTGACTTGAAATTTACAAGATAAAATTTTCTAGTTATCCATGTTCAACTTCAACTATCGAAACCACATTTCTTATGATATAAATGGACATTTCACTATAAAAAAAGAGGAACTTTCATTAAAAATTAATGGACTTTGCTCGTTTAGACAAAAGCTTTTGTAAAAAATTTCACCACCATGCTACATAAATTTTCTCAAAATATACATATATTTGCTTCAATTTCGAACAGGACAATTGAATTGAATTCAAATATGTCATGAAAGGTTATTGTTGAAACAAAAAATACACTATTCCTAGGTGCAATTGACAAATATAGGTCATTGATAGAGGCTTTCTGTTTTGTCAACCCAAGAGTTTGTGATGTTACTGCTCTCTTCTTTTCTTGCGTCCAGCAACTTTGTCTCTGTGATGCTGGTAAAAATTAGAAATTCTGAGATGTTGTTCCATAATTTTTTGTTGGTTTTCTTATTGATTGTTGTTTGAATCACTAGCTTTCCTTATGTTTCCCATAGTTGCGATGAGAAGGAGAAGAATGTGTAGATGGTAAATCTCCCCCCCCCCCTCTCTCTCTCACACATTTTTTTAGAATTAATTACACGAGACCTTTGGGCCCTCAATGCATGCCTTATTAGAATCTATTAGGTTTTAAGAGCAATTATTTTACTTTTGAACACCTTATATGCAATTCTCCTTAAATTAATTAAACATTTAAATAATAATATTCAAAAATAAGTTTTAAATTCTATAGATATTTTTTCCGCAAAAATTTAGATGACCATGACATGATTCATCAGCCAATCTTTTCAATTCTAGAGTGAGGTGGCTCGCATCTCAAAAAGCACCGCTCATTATATTTTATTTATATCCAATTTGACTATTTTTAAGTTTTTAACTATCGTCTTTTTCAAACCGCGTCCTTCTCTGCCCCCGAGTCTCCTGTAATCTGTAGTTTTGAACTCCTCATTTCCATTTTTCCATATTCATACAGAGAGAGCCGAAAAAGAAAAAGCCAAAAAAAAAAAAAAAAACCAGTCTTTTCGTTCTAGTCTTCTAGATAAGTATCAGAGGAACGGAAGAATTTCCTTTAAGAATCTGCCCATCACACTCCAATCTGAGCCATTTCTCATTTCCTTTCCTTGTCCTTGTTCTTTCTCAATTGCACGGGATTTTTCAGTAAATCTACATTGAAAACTTTCAACTTGTCTGAATTTGGTCATGGACTACTGAGATTCTTCTTCTTCCGTTGACGAATTTCACTTGCAGCAATGGTAGATAAATCCGGTAACATTCATCGTGCTCGCTACCACTTCACCATCTCGAAGCTTCTCTTCTGGTCTCTTGTCTTTCTTGGCTTGATTTTCTTCTTCTTCTTCAGATCTCCTTCTCCTTCTTCTTCATCTCGCCGATCCCTTCGCGGCGGAACCGATTGGCAGAACTCCGTTCGTGTTTCTGGGACTCCGCATTCTTCTTCTAAATGTCGTAGGGTTCTTGTTACTGGTGCCGCTGGCTTTGTTGGAACCCATGTGTCCATTGCTCTGAAGCGACGGGGAGATGGCGTTGTCGGCATCGATAACTACAATAAGTATTATGATCCCTCTCTGAAGCGTGCTCGCACCGACCTTCTGCGGCGCGAAGGGGTGTTCATTGTTGAAGGAGACATAAACGACGCTGGTTTATTGCGGGAGCTTTTTAGGTTGGTGAAATTCACCCATGTGATGCATCTGGCGGCGCAAGCTGGAGTGCGTTATGCGATGAAGAACCCTGCTTCTTATGTACACAGCAACATTGCTGGGTTAGTTAATGTTTTCGAAGTTTGTAAATCTGCGAATCCACAACCTGCAATTGTGTGGGCATCATCTAGTTCTGTTTATGGACTCAATTCTAAGGTGCCATTTTCGGAGAAAGATCGGACGGATCAGCCTGCTAGTTTATATGCCGCTACAAAAAAGGCTGGTGAAGAAATTGCTCATACTTATAACCATATTTACGGTCTATCCATTACTGGGCTGCGATTTTTTACGGTTTATGGTCCATGGGGTCGACCAGATATGGCCTATTTCTTCTTCACTAAGGATATATTGAAAGGGAAGCAAATTCCCATCTTTGAAGGCCCTAATCATCGTTCTGTTGCAAGGGATTTCACCTATATTGATGATATTGTGAAGGGTTGCCTAGGTGCATTGGACACGGCAGGGAAGAGTACTGGGAGTGGTGGCAAGAAGAAAGGGCCAGCTCAATTGAGGGTTTTCAATTTGGGGAATACTTCACCAGTTCCAGTTTCCAAGCTTGTGAGCATACTTGAGAAGTTGCTGAATGTGAAGGCGAAGAAGAAAGTTGTGCCGTTACCAAGTAATGGGGATGTGATGTTCACTCATGCCAATATAAGCTTTGCTACAAGGGAGCTTGGATACAAACCAACCACAGATTTGCAAACAGGTTTGAAGAAATTTGTGAATTGGTATATGGAGTACTATTCTGCATCAGGAAAGAAGAGTTCTTGGTAAAAGGGGGAAAAAATTCTGAGTTTGGTTTTCTATTTACTTGGGTGTGTTCATAATTTGATACTGCAAATTGTCTCTTGTTTTTTCCACTATTCAGCACGTTGGCAATAGAGTTGTTCGGTGTCAACAGAGTTCAGAGATTACAGGGTTGCTGCACAATTTTGCAGTGAATACCAATCTCTCTCTCAAGGAGCCAGAATCATAATTGTCCATTTATTTTTTCCCTCATCATATTCGAGTTTTGTTTCGAAAAGTTGTTGATGCTTTTGGAACTGTAAGATTATGAACATAACTTTGAGTCCTTTGGACAGATGCTGATAAGTGCTTAATGAACAACTGCAATAACACTTTGTACCAATCGTACTGCTCCATAATTCTGGCATTTATCTCTTTGTTGTCTTAAGGAAGACGCAACCTGTTCATGTTAATTCATCATTCATGTGGTGTCTGGCGTAAGGTCTCGATCAATGTAGAGTTTGATGCAACTGTTACTGAGCTTTGCATGGAATTATCTCAATCTTATCTTTTTCAATGCTATTAATGCTCTAGGCTCTAGGACTCTCTTTCAATTGTTATTGTTAGTTCGACCATATTTATGTAATTCACGGAATGTAGCTACTTTGCCCTCTTGGATACCTTCCTTTTCTTGATTTATCATTCTTTTCTCTACAGAACCATAGACAGTCTGCTTTTTTCTCAGATTCTTTTCATCGTATTCTCTCAGTTATCATGTTTAGATGCTTTTACTAGCTTCTTCATTACAGTTTACTTTTTCATCTTTTCTTGTGGAAGAAACACTGTAAATATAGGATCTACTCAGGATGGTGCCAAAAAGTCGAAAATGATGAGAGATATGTTGAGATCAGTTTGGATCATGTAGGTGTCATGAGGGGCAGACTTTAGTGGGGTAGTTTCATGTGACATGTACCACTCGATATGATCACTCATTTAAGGATTGTTTTAATGGCATTGAATTGAGTCATGAACCAAAACTGTGATTTAGTTGTTTGTTTTTGACTTTTCTGCTGTCTGGTTTAGGTCATAGTTCTGAGTTCACATGGGAATAGTACTTGTTTTGCCGACTGCTAAGCTGGATTCATATGGTTTCAGTCTGTGTGCACGTCTGAGGTTATGAAGTATTGTTTTTAGAATAAATTATTAGAGGCTCTCCTAAATTTGACTACAATTACTTGGAATTACCTTTTACCAAAGTCACAAGTGAACTTCATGAGTTTAATTTTATTAAAAAATTTGTTTTTAGAGTTTCATTTGTATAACTAAAAAATGGTTTCAAGTAAAGTTTGTATGATTTTCAAAAATAAAGTAAATAATTCTGCAAAAAATTGCCTTAATTTTAAAATTTATATATATTTTTATGAAGATGTTATTTGAGGAAAGTGTTGGATCCAGTGATCAAACAAATGATAAATATTAATATCAACGTAAATATATAATTTATAACGAGTTTAAATGTGTCTGCTTATCAATTATGTAAAAGTTTGACGTTTGAGAAAATTAATCTTTCGATCTTTATAATTTTGGTTTAGTTTTATTTTAATTTTTAAATTTTAACTCGTTATAATTTAAAATTTATAATTTTAGCTCGGTTGTAATTCAATATTTAAATTTGAATTTGGTGTAACTTAATTTTATGATTTTTAACCATTTAAATTATTGGTCTTTGTATTTTAAAAAATGATAAATATTAAAATTATTTTAAAATTTTAATCTTTATAAAATTAAAAGTTTTAGAAATTTAAAATATTAGTTCTTAAATTTTAAAATAATTTTCATCTTTAATTTTCTAAAATATAGAACCAATATTTTTGGTTAAAATTATAAAGTTTGAGTTGTATTAAGTTTAAGGTTATGAATTGAGTTATAATAGGGAAAACATAATTTTAGACTCATACATTTTGTTATTAATTCTTATACTTTTTTTTTTCAATGATTTAGGTCCCTATATTTTTATTTTTAATTGTTTTAAATTTCTTTATGAGCAAATTGTAAGGACCTTATAGGGACATAAGATAATGAAAAATAAAATGTAGGGGGTCTAAAATATTAAAAAAAGTATAGGAATCAATAACAAAATATCAATAAAGTATAGAAACCTAAAGTTATGTTTTTTTATTATAATATAACTAAATCAAAATTTAAAAATTAAGTTATAACTGAGTTAAAATTATAAAAATTAAATAATTAATTTTTTTAACACTTTAAGATGACAAAAGGTAAAAGAAAAAGGAGGGAAACAACCCCCTTTTGTTGTGAGAAAAACAAACAGTTTTGTTTCAATGATCTTAGGCTTGCTCGGTATAATAATAAATTTTTTGATAAAATTGAAATTAGATTTTAAAAATATATTTGATATAAAAATGAAATCTTGAAATAATTTTAATTAGTATATTTTTAAATAGGAAAAGATCAAAATGCCATTTTCCCAAAATTAAAATGAAGGGCAAAATGATACAACGAAAATAATTTCAAAGAATGGTACTAATTCTATCCTCCCTTTGACGGAATCCAATTTAAAGAAATTTTTTTGAATTTGGATTTTTGAGAATCAAAACTTACATGTACCAAACATGTTTTATCAAAAAATCCATTTTCACTTCTGATTCCTTTCTTACAATTTTGCATATCAAACATGGCCTTAAATCTTCACCCACAAGTGCAGTCTGGATGTCAATAAAAAAGTCAAGAATATGACACTAAAAAAAAAAAAAAGCTCAAAGTATTTTAGTGAGAGTTAAGGATTTTTTAAGAGAACTATTTATAAATAAGTATTAATATAAAATTATTTATTATTAAAATGAAAACAGTAACTTCTTTTAAATGGTGATTTATTGTTGGTTCATTATTTTATTTTTTTTGAGAGATTTTTAGATAAGACGCTCTTTTATTTTGACTATGGTTGTTGGTTCCTGTAGTTATGGGAAATTTGACCGTTAGTTGTTCAGCAAATTGCACAATAATTTGATCATTACGTCGTTATTATATTCAATTATTCATTCCTTGTGAAGGGTACGCGTGTCTTACGCGAATAAGGATATATACTGTTTAACAATAATGAGTTAGCTTAATTCATAAGCAACCAGTGGACGTGTCACGAAAATTCTATTCCTCACCCAGAATTTGAATTCTGGTCAGAGTTTCAAATATAATGCATTCTTATCTAACTCTAATATGTCAAAATAAACTGTTAAGTAGATATAATCCCATATTTTTTTTAAAAAATGTATTATTTCTTAATACTAATTATTAATTGTTTTTTTAAATGAGAGGAAAGTAATTATGATTTACTCCCAGGGCTAATATGACAAAAACATATTAATTATACTTAGAATTTTGTAAAATGCCTTATATTAAAATTTAAAAATGTCTTATATTTTAAAAGAAAAATATTAATGAAGGGCTATCAAAAAAAATTAATATTTAATAAAGATACTTGATATATTGAATACTTGTTAAAACAATAACTTCACTTATTAACTTATTAATGTTTATTTGTCTGAAATTTTTTAAGAAATTAAATTTCTTTAAGTTTTTTATTGATATTTTTCCTATTGAAAATTCGAATTCACCACATTGAAAACCTATTTGTAAGTTGTCACTGATTTTTAAGTTCTAACATTTGCTACGGTAACTTTTACAATTTGTAATTGATGGTCTTTCACCATATGCAAATAAGCAATGTGAGAATAACTTAAGGGCATTTTTATCTATTTACATTTTTTAAATAAATAATTCTAAAAAATTATGATCCTTTATAATATTATTATATAACAAAATCTTGAGTTTACGAAGAATGCTTTCATTGTAAGAATTATTTTAACTTTTTTAAAAAACATACGTTAATAATTTTTAATTATTAATAAAATTTAATTATTATAATTAAGACATTCATTTAAGTGAGTGGATTTAAATCACTCACCCAATCAATCAAAAAATTCTCACATGATGCTCATTATAATGACGTTCTCCCTCTTGTTTTTTTTTTTTTTTCAAGTCACCTAAAATTTTTTCATAGTCCTTTATATAAGTTACTTTCTTTTAGTTTTTGTAATCTTTGATGTACAATTCCAAACTTACCATCCAACAAATTCTAAAAAAAAAAGTGTAATATTTCAATTTTCCAAAAAAAATTTCCCACACATTAAATCACTCTTTTTTTAAGTAGGGACAAAATTTAAAAGTGATGTATTTTTAAGACAATTTTATTACTTTAATTAACTTACTTTAATTTTGATAAGTTAGTTAAAAACGATTTAGAACGAATACACGTTATCATGATGAGGTTTGTGAATTGTTCCAATTAGAAGATCCCAATTTAAATTCTTATTAAATAATAAATGCAAGCCTTGCCTTCTTTATTTTTCTCCTCGTGGGTCTTGTGGTTTGTTGACTTTTTCTCCCTTATCCAAATTTTTTGAGAAAATTACTCTAAAGTTCCTCATTGATCTAAATATTCTGAAGTCCCAAATCTTTTATTTTGAATATATGTTATAATTAGTTACTAAAATACCCTTACTTTACTTCTCTTTTAAAAGGACATGTCCATTCCGGTCACCAACAATCAGAGATTGGAGATGCAACCACTAGTCGCCAGACCTTAAGTGACTGTTAAAGAATATTATTGGTCAAGGGAAGATTTGAGGGCTCAATCTCTTGGATCCTAAACAATTATTGCAACCTTAGACTATTGAAGCCATTGGACAAAAAGATACAAAATATTTTCTATATATTGAACTTAAAGAGACAAGTTTGGTGGAATATAATTTAGTAGTTACTGTTATATAAGGTATTTGTTATAAGTCAGGTGATTTATTAATAAAAAAATATACTCATTTAGTATTCATTGTAGTATAAGATACTTATTATTTATATTTGGTGACTTGTTAATGGAGAATATGATCATTTAGTTGTTAATATTGTTTGATATACTTGTTATTCACACTAAATGACTTGTCAGTGAAAAATATGCTCATTTAGTAGTCATTGTTGTACAAGGTACTTATTATTCATAGAAGGTCACTTGTTAACGGAAAATATACTCATTTAGTAGTAACTATCCTACAAGTAGAAATGACAACAAGGCAAATGATATTGACAACTAAACATATTTTCCATTAATATGCCACCCACCATAAATAACAAGTATCTTATACAATAATGACTACTAAATGAGAATATTCTCCATTAACAAGTAACTCACTATGAATAATAAATACCTTATACAATAGTGATTACTAAATGAGCATATTCTCTATTAACAAGTGACCCTTTGTGAATAACAAGTACCTTATACAACATTGACTACTAAATGATCATATGCACTATTGACAAGTCACCTAG